GAAATCCGAAGGCACTCTCTTCTGCTCCTCAGAGTGCCATAAGACGCATTCTGGATTATACCCTCAATCTGTCATTTGTCTCCTTTCTTGTTATTTAATGTCTTGTGTGAATGTCGGAACCAATTGTGTTTAAAATTTTTTCTATTTTAACGTGCTGAAAACTTTTACACACTACACTTTTCACCACGTGTTGAGAGCAGCTGTTACCCTTATCCTTGAAGATTGCTCACTGCCCAGTCAGCACAGCTCCTGACTTACTTATGCCAACCTAAAAACCCCTAGTCTTCAGTCCATTTTTGCTGCTGCCCAGAGTTTCTGCACTGTTGACGCTTCCTTATTCTCCTGTTTCCTGGTACATTCCCAAAAACTTGGTATCATTATTTGACATTTATAAGATGGTAGCCTCTAAAGTCTCACCAAGTTGAGGGCCCCTTTGTCCTACATGCCTTACAAACATAGCTTTTATTGCTGTTCCTTCACCCTTCCCAGTTCATCTTTACCTTTCCATGCTTTCTTTCCTTTACCATGCAGATTTGCCTGCCACCATAGCCCCCAAATTATCTTCCTGCCTCTCAGCCAGTGCATATTTAATTACACTTAAAAACAGGGCAAAGAAGACAGGAAAAATAACCATTTACACAGCGTCTTTTATTGTATTCCAGTCTTACACCATTGCTTCCCTTGGCAAATAGTTTGTTTCTCCTCCATTCTATGTGTGTGGCTTTTTTAACATGCACATGCACACAATGGAGGAGAAACTATTTTCATTATTAGTAGTTGGGTTCCTGGCTCTGTGTTGCTACCTGGAGCATCTCCGAGCCATGCCTGGAGCATCTTCAACTTTTTTTTTTAGAGTAGCCAGGGTTGTTGGTTTTTAAACCACTTTTAGTGTCAGTAAAGAGGATCCTGGGGGGGTATCTCTTTGCCTTTAAGTTTCTAGTCTATGTAGCACTTTGAAGCCAACTCTTAATTGATAGGTTAGAAAGATTAGGGATGTTAACTATCAGGTATTTGTGTACACAAGAAACCAGGAAATGTTAGCGGTTACATGTTGGGGGGAGGCTGGAGCTGGTGCTTGCCTGCATCACTTCTCCCCCCGCCCCCTCCCCCCCCCCCCCGCTGCCTTTGATAGAGGCAGCAGCATGGCAGGGGGAGGCAGCTCCATGGGAGCCATTATGCTAGTTTGAAAGCTGCTTCCAGTGTATACAGGCTACTGCCTCCTCCCCCACCCCGTGCACTGCTGCCTTTGTCTCAGCTGCTGTTTGTGGAGAGTCAGCTTTTAAGGCAGCTCCCAACGAGCATCAGCTCCCTTCTGCCCCTCTTTCCCCCACCCCTGCTGCCTCTGTGGGAGGCGGGGGGAGGGAGGCAGCTCTGCAGAAGCTGGCATGCACGGAGGGCTTCCTGCATGTATCTGTGCCTGCCCTCCCCTCCCTCCTCTTACTTGTTGCCTCTTTATCAGAGGCAGCTAGGGGAGGGGCATGCTTGTAGTCAACAGGATTAACCAATACGTTCAGGCTTATCAGTTAATCATGTAATCGACTACATGTTGAAATCCCTAAGAAAGATGCTACCTGCACACGTGATAAGGAATCATTAAGATGTTTCTTGCATTGAGCTTTGAGGCACTTGGTACAGTCTACTGTCAGAGGCAGAATATTGAACTAGAATGGCCATTTGTTTGACCTGGGAAAGCAATTCCTATGTTGTGAAGTGCCAGGGATGCTGGCAAAGAGGATGGTGAGCTGATACACTGAAGACTTTGACTGCTGCCACTCAAAACAGTAAAAGTGTTCTTGCAATTTATAACAAAGATGCGGGAGATGACATGTATTAGCCTCTCTCCCCATTGTGAAACAGATTTTGGGGAAGGAAGGACTAACGAGGGAAAAGCCTCAGATTGCAAAATGCAGTCCTATTGTTATAAGGCAGAGATAGTAGCTTGCTGGTCAATAGTTCTTTAGTGTCAGGCAAAGCTAGCCAGTTGAAGATATTCTTTGGTGAATAATTACATTAATAAAGGCCAGTAACACAGGCAGACTCCACTTTGAATGTTTTTTCTCCAGTGTGCTATTTCATGGGGCCAAAATAATTCAGGGTCTGGCTTCTGTTGTTTCACTTTGTGAATGGAGGCAGTACAGGCAGTCCCCGGGTTACGTACAAGATAGGGACTGTAGGTTTGTTCTTAAGTTGAATCTGTATGTAAGAACTGGCGTCCAGATTCAGCCTGTTGAAACTGATCAGCGGCTGATTCCAGGAAGCCCGGGGCAGAGCAACTCTGCCTCGGGCTTCCTGTAGTCAGCCGCTGGTCAGCTTCAGCAGCGGCTGCATCTTGGGTGCAGGTCCCA